TGAACGACTTGCACTCTCAAATGAGTGACTCTCAGTTTCTATTCGACGATTTGGTTGTAGTATTTGCTCTATCGCTCTTGATGGTGCGAACACCTGCGTCATCTCAACTCGGTTCGACTTCTGTCGCACAGCCTAATCAAAGACCACCTAGAACGTTGTTTGCTCTTGACATCGTGCTGTCTCTGGTTGGACAAGTCGCTATATTTCTTGGATGTATTTACATTGCGTTGGCGGCAGCAGAGGCGCGACCGTGGTTTTGCTCGGCAGAAAAGGCGCTAACACTCACACGAGCGGCTTCAGACGGTGGAGAGAATGATCCTGACGTCGTGCAAGCGCCTTGCTACGTATTTATACCTGGCGAGCCGGCAGATCTGACCTCAAATTCGTACGAAAATAGTGTTTTATGGCGTTTTGGACACCTCCAATACTGGATTGCAGCTGTCACGCTTAATGTCCGTGACAAGTACCGAGCGCCCGTTCTACGGTCGAATCGGACATTTGTGTTTTACACCTTTGTCTTGTTGATTATTCTGCTCGTACAGCTTTTAGGGAATACTGGGAATCGTGAGGATGAAAAATCGACAGCGTCAGCAGCAGTAGCAAAAGCATTGAAAGCACGTGGCGTGGATGTGAGTTTAGGAGCGCTGGAGCTGCCTGCAAGTTTTGCATGGTCTCTGTTTCCACTGTTTCTCTTTGATGCTGGCTGCGTCTTGTGCTGGGAGGTCGTGGTCGTTGGAATGGTATTACCTCGCTTTCGAATGCAGCAATTGAGCGGCTTTCGTAACCGCAAAAGCAAATCTGGCGGCTGGAAGACGTGCTTTGGCCTTCGTGGTGAGACCGATAAACAGAGTCTCGTGTCACCTTTTGGTACTGAACGACATGGTTTGTTAGGTGGTGATACGATTCAAGGTGGTCAACAAGTGAAAGTGAATTTAAAGCCCATTGGTATCAAAGGGAACGTCGGTAGGGTGGATAGTGACGATGATGAAGAGGAAGACGTATTAGACATCCCTTCGACTGAGATTGTGTAGCAAAATGACATACTAATGTCTTTTTATATATTCCTTAAATTTTTTCTTCTTTTGTGATTTTCGGTCTACAAAGTGGAAGACAACTTGCTAGTCTTCGTGTCTGCACTCAGAAAATGCATCTCTTTATTTCTGCCTCTACAAGTGACATCTCCGCTGTCATCACAGGCATCAAGCTTCCATAGTAAGAGTCTTCGGTCGCTGTAGATTGCACATCAGTCTTAAAGTTCATAGAAATATCCATTAGCGAAGTATCGTGTTCTGACATTCCGTTCGTCTTGCTCGTTATATTGAACGTTCCACTCAATGGAAGCTCAAGTAGCTTGTCGACCGTTGGGAGTGGCTCAGTATATGAGAAATCAACAGCGCTGTCTGTCGC